AAAATAACATATCATTAACAAAAATAAGTCAATATACTACTACAACTATAACTTACGCGTCTTCAACTGATTGTTCTCAATTTCTAATATTGGACTATTAGACATATGAAATTGTAAAAAAATCCCAATATTTTCAGTAAAAATTCAGTCTATGCTTTCACAATTCCTCAATTTCAGCCATTGAGTTCCAATATTTTCAATCTTCAACCATTAAAATCAGTTTTACAATTGGGCATTAATTTTCTTCTAACTTTTCAACCATTTCTTCATCACACGGTTTTTTTTATACAAGATGTAAAATAAAAGCATCTAAATAGAAATAAGGAAACCTTTTAATCTTCCATTCTACACTGTAACATCACAACCATTTAATATTTCACATTTACAGAGACTTAAAAATTATAAAAAAAATAATAATAAAAAATAATCAGAGATCAGAATGACAGAATTGGAAGGCTATTCTACATCTAACATCTACTTGTCTTGTGTTACTACTCTTCCTCAAAAGCCACATAACCAAAGAAAAACATACCAACTACCAAATGCCAATAGCACATATTAATTTACCTACCGCTTCGGTTGTTCTGCTTCGACAATAACCATTAGCAATAGCAAGGATGGAGGAAGAGAAGACAGGAAAAGAGGAGAAGTGGGAAGATTAGAAGTCACTACTCACATATGTTTAGTTGGGTAAATGGAATTAGGTTTGACTTGTAGGCTACCAAATAGTAATTTGGTTATCTGGGTAAGTAAATAGTTAAAAAAAAATCCAAAAATTTTATGTAGTCATTTTGTTGAGGTTGTCTCACATCGATTGTGGAAGGGGTTGGTTTTCTGTTTATAAATGCAAGTGAAGGTTTTACCTCTTAAGCTAGCTTTTGGGGCTGAAAAGGCCCAAGACCACCCAACACTTGTATCAGAGCTCAAGTTATCAACAAGTCTCAGGCCCAGCAGTCCATGAGAGATACGGATTTGTGTGAGAGGGAAACGGGTTTGGTCTCACCCATGGCCTGTTGTGTGAGGGGGAGATGGGTTTATTCTTACCCATGGCCCGCAGTATGAGGGGGAGAATTTTGAGGGTATCCCATATCGGTTGTGGAAGGGGCTAGTGGTCAGTTTATAAGCTTGAGGGAAATTTTCACCTTTTGAGTTAGATTTTGAGGTTGAGAAGTGGGAAGATTAAAAGTCACTGGTCACATATGTTTAGTTGGGTAAATGGAAATCGGGTTTGTGTTGTAGGCTACCAGATGGTAATTGGGTTAATTGGGCTAATTGGGCAGGTAAGTAGTAAAAAAAATCCAAAAATTTTGTGGGGTCATTTGATCCATGTGGATCCGCTCCTGTTTTGCAAAGCATTAGTGACAAAGTTATAAATGACATGTTTTCCTCCAAATTAAACCTGTTTATAGCATTGACGACATCATATAAAAGAGAAAACAATGAACCACAAGGCATGGATAGAAAGTTTTGCCATAAGGGGAAACAATGAACCGTGAAGTGGATTATTTAACCACATGGCACATGTGAATTGGACTAGAGAGTTTGTGAGATTGTGCTAGTGTAGGAGAATTGTGGACCGTAGATTAAATTCAATTCAACAGTTAGATTTAGTTTTGTGATCAATTCTCTATGCTAGACTTGTCCCTTTATCATAGCATAATGTTTAAATTTCGATTTCAAATGTCTTGATCTTTTAATTGTAAGTTTTGCCACTTGGTTTCATTTAGAGTCAGCAAACAAGAGAGAAGAAAGAGTAACTAAGGGGTGAGACTTTTTCTCCATCAAGAATTCTTCACTACCTCCAATTTATTATTATTATTATTATTATTATTTATTTATTTATTTTTTAATCCATTGCCATTCCCTTGGAATTTGATGATGCTTTGATCCGTTGTGACTAAAATCTGAGCTCAACATCATAGAACATATCGGTGGTGAAGTCGAAGAATTGAGTTGATTTTGTGTACTTTGAGAGTTTTTTTTCGTATTGTAGTAGTAACCATCATTATTACACAACATTACAACTTCATAGAACCATATTTTCATGAAATAGATATAAGTGTTAAGTTTTGCATCTCATGTCGTCATACCAACAGGTTGGGATAGAAAGCAGAAACAAACGTTTGCTACTCTTAAAACGAACAAATGAAAGTTCTTCTCATAGTGGAAAAGTTGTAGTTGTAGACAAATGTAGTCCTTGATAGGTAGGGAGGATTGTGGAAATTTCTTCAATTTGCACAACTTTGCTAAATGTGGTCCATGGCCAATGTCTTGAATGTATAAAAATTGTGTCTTTTTCTTTCAACAGTCAATCAACCATTTATTTGATTCTAAAAAATCAAGAATTTATATATCTTAATATTAGTGCATCAACTATGGATTACTTAAGCATTTTTGTTAACAGTGCTGACGAAGAAAAAGATAAAACTATAAATGCACATTATGTTTAGTTATAAATTTGTACAGTTATAAACTAGGAAAAAAAATGTTGTTGTAAATGCTCATCCCCAATTGGTAGTGGCAGCTATGAGAGTAGTTAGTTGCTCCTTGTCCTGGGAATGGATAATTAAATGGCAAACTAAACTCGTTACCACTAAATGACGAATTCAGGAGCGGAAGGAGGGACTATTCTTTCCTGCTGGTATCTTTTCTAGTTGTGCTTTAAGATGATTAAAGAGTTTATTTTCTCGATTTCGTTTTTCGCTGATTACTTTGCTCAAGGAAGATGCAATAACAAATTTTTTTTCTTGAAACATTGTATTAATGGCTGTACAAGGCAAGGTATACTTTTTTATTTTTTTATTTTTTACCCATTTGGTGTTCATTTTTATGATGCAATCCAGCCATTCTGAGAAGCTTCCTTGGAGAATAGCATATAGCTACCCATACTATATCGTGAGAAACAGTCGATAACTGATGAACCTTCCCAAAAACATTCGTTATCTTCTAAATTAACCCCTCAGCATTGAGCAAAAAATGTTTTAGGCACCGTCTTTTCAGTATTTTGTTAACGGCATTTGGTGAGGGGAGGAAGCTTACTGTTTTTTTTTTTTTTTATTTAAACATCTTTTGACTGCATTTGGGACTGATTAAAGAGCTAACAGGGAAAAAAGTAATGGATTAAAATTTTAATAATTCATTGTTTGTACCACTAGAATGAAACTGAGTTGCTTTTGTCAAAGTCTCCCACGTATTAAACATTTTAGTCCCAGGTCAAAGTCTCCTCATTTTAGTTTGCACCATTTTCCTCTGGTGGTCCCTTAGCTTGAGACATTACTGATAGGAAACATATGGTAGAATTCATTTCGCCATTAATTAGTCAAGAATTGATTGATGAATCTTAATTTCTTACCCCCAAAAAAAAAAAAAAAGGACCAAGAAGAAAAAAAAATATACACGTCTTATTTTTTATCAGGAAATTAGAAGAAATTTCCTGGAGTTTGGACAATGACTTAGGGACGATATTTTTATAAGAAATTTCCCGTTAGTTTGCAGTCAATCAACTGTACATCAAGTTTCCCCTTTAAAAAGGGATGCTACCAAAGCTAAAAATCCACCAAGCAACATATATAAGAAATTTTACAGGGTTGCTAATAACTCAGATAGGCCACCATTAGTGTGTTCATAATTAAGAAAGATGGGAATAAAGTTACGGGTAATGTTAGTGATGATGATGCTTTCACTACTAAATGGATGGTATTGTTTAGGGTGTTGGGAGGAATAGAGGATTGCTCTTTTGCACCTCAAAGAAAATATAAACTTTCCAGATGAAAAATTGCTACCTTCATGGGTGGTTAATGAGATTGGAACTGATTGTTGTCAATGGCAAGGGGTTGAATGTAGCAACACAATTAAACGAGTAATCCAAATTAATCTTGATGGCGCTAGGGATCGGAAATTTGAAGATTGGTATTTTAATGCCTCTCTATTTCTTCCCTTACAAGAGCTCAGAAATCTCTCTTTGTGGAGTAATAAATTGGTTGGTTGGATTGAGAATGAAGGTATGATGCCATCTCTCTTTAATTAGGTAGATTCATTTTTTTCATTCCTATTTTGTTTGAGTGATATTACAGATATGTTGAACTTTGTTGTAGGTTTTGATAGATTGTCGATGTCGAGAAATTTGGAGGCCCTTTATTTGGATGGCAATTCATTTGATCGCAAAATTTTGTCATCTCTTAGTCAACTTTCTTCACTCAAGCTCTGAAAAAAAAATTACAGCAATAGTAAGTTCAATAAACTTCATATTCTGGTAGTTATTTCGTAGATCATGTAACTATCGAAGAATCAACCCTTAGAAAATAAATCAAGTCATTATAATTAAACTTTTTTTTTTTTTTTGGTTGCCGTATAAGATAAGCAATTTTCCTAAACCTTTAATTTTCTCTATTAGAAGTGCAGATCAAACAACCAATTTAACCTTATTACTGTATTATGAGAAAAAGCAGAGGGAGTAAATAATTTTAAAATACAGTAACAGTCAAACATTTTTTGTGAAAAAGCATATAAGTGCAAGAATTTTTGGAGTGAAGAGAAGATAACAGATTTCCAACTTTCGCTAATTCTATGAATGCAAAAATAGTCCATGAAAAAAAAGTAAAAAAATACGAAAGCCAGAAGCCAGAAGCTTAACTTGAGATTTTATCATTAATTTAGTTGTTTGGAAAAAAGAATATCTTGGTTTCATTTTAGATAAATCTACTTACCGTAGTGGTAATGAGGAACTTCAAAATATCTACATATATAGGAACTTCAAAATTATGCAAATTACTCTCCTATTACATAAAAACATTTGTCATTTGTTCCTTCCTAATAAGTTTACCATTACTAAATGTATATGTTAACAGTATTGAGATAGATATTAATAGTGCTAATCAACCCAAGTAATTCAAATTGAAAAAAATTAAGGGCATGCTTGGTACTTGAAAATACAACAAATAAGACATTTTCAACTTTAATATCGGAATACACCTTACCACAAAAGCAATAATATTATTTTCATGATACCCGACCATTGTGATTGCTTTTCAATGTTTAATAGCTTGATGAAACATCAGCCATAATATTATTCAGTGTTTCATTATGGAATACACCTTTCTTTTTGTTTAATTATTTTCTCTGGGCATCATTTTAATGTTGAATAGCTTTAACGAAACATATATTTATTTTTTATTAGAAATCATTGTGTAGGTCGTGAAAGACTCTTCGGATTAACCGAGCTGGAAGTTCTTGATTTTGCATATAATGATGGGATAATCGATGATGATATACTATCAGTGCTTAGTGAGTTTTTTTTTTTCCTGCAACCTGATATATTGTTTTTAGGTCATAGGACCTTTTAATTTTTTTTAATTTTTTATTTATTTATTTATTTTTGTTTTTGTGTTTTCCGACAGATTTGAATGATTTTATCAATTTGAAGGAGCTCGACCTACTTCAAAATAAATTTAGAAGCTTGGGTACCATTTACAGTATATCATCTCATTTCGTTCTTTATCCTCATTCATTTTTAGTTTCCTTTTCTTTCGTTAATTCACTTGTGCCTTATTATGTATGAACAAAAGCATTCATATTATTTTGCTCCCATGCCCTCCCTTTCACTAAATAGTAGTTTGTTGTTTATTAGATATTATATTGTAACTTATTGTGGATTTGGCTATACATACATGTCTAAAATATTTGAAGGTCCTTAATTTACAATTAAACCACTTCAATAATAGCATTTTCTCCTCACTTCACGGGCTGTCATCACGAAAGTTTCTAGATCTCTCTTACAATGAACTAAAAGGAACCATCCAATTTAAAGGTTAGTTGCGTAGTTTAGAGCTCATTATTTTTCTTATTTGTAGTCAAACGAAGCTGAGTTCTCAATCATTATTTTCACATTTTGCTTGTACATATTTATTTCTCTACCTCCATCTAGATTTACGTGCTTTGAGTAATTTGGAGGAGCTTTATCTAAGTGGTAATGAGGTTGACAACTTCACAACTCTAACAGGTAGTCAACGAGGTTTTTCAAGTCTATATTTTCCAAATAATTAACGTCAATACGCTTATACTGAATATTACCCTAGAGAGTTCTACATTTCAGGCATCAAAAGTATGCATTGTCTCCAAGTGCTAAAAGTAAATGACATTAGGGTCTCCAACATTAGCCACATGGTGCAATCTTTGAGGGCATTTTCTTACCTCAAGTACTTTTATTTTCAGTACAATTATGTAAGCGGAAGTATTGGATCTTATGGTAAGCCAAAGGACCTACAATTCCTAGTCACATAAATTATAATACTAATTACAATATGAACTCCAATTCTAATGCACCTCCCATTGCTTACATGTATAAGAGTTGAGACATTTAAGACAGCTGGAGGGATTGTTCTTGGATAATTCTACTATGGATTGGAACTTTCTACAAAGTATTGGAGCACACTAACTTTCCTCAAGATTTTATCTTTGTCTAGATGCGGACTCAATGGCACCCTTCCCGTTCAAGGTAAACGTCAACGGCTTGTTTGGTGAACAATGTTTTTCATGACTTGACAAGCTGATTAACGAATTGTTTCTTCAATTATTTCTATTTTCACAATTTTAAAAATTTCCTTGCATCTCAATCATACTTTTGGTTAATGCATGCAAGGTCATATCACTATTCTCTTTTAATGGATGCAAAATTACTATAAAATTTTTCAAAAAACAATAGATATTGATTACCTCACTATTAAGTATAGAAAATAATTTGTGAAAACTAAAAATGAACCAGACCATTTCTTTTGTATCAAAAGAAGTTTAACTTTGTCAATTAGGACTTCATAATTAATATAATTTAAAGAGTATTGGCTAACCATACATAGCTAAAAGTAATTAAATTTTTTAAGTATGTTAACAGTTACATTCAAAATAATTAACTTATTGTCGTCTCACCAATAAATAAATAAAAATCACTTTTAAAAATGAAACTTTCTTACGTGAAAGTAAGTTCACAGATTAAAAATGCTTTCTTTTATAAGCAAAGCCTTTATATTCCCTTGTATTCGTTTGATTTGCAGGGTTGTGCAAACTTAAAAACCTCCAAGAGTTAGATCTTAGTTGGAATGAGTACGAAGGAACACTTCCTTCATGTGTTGCAAATATGACATCTCTTAGATTGGTTGCCCTCTCACACAATACATTCACCGGAAATATCGCCTCCTCTCCACTTTTGAAACTCACATCGCTTGAATATCTCTCCCTTTCAAGTAACAACTTTCAAATTCCAATTTCTTTCAAGGCATTCTTTAATCATTCAAACTTTTAAGTTTTTATTTTTGGAAAACAATGAAATAATAAATGACAAAGAGTTGGGAAATTGGGTTCCCAATTTTCAGCTAGAAGTTGTTAGTATGCAGAATTCAAGAGGCCGTCCATCACTACCCAACTTCCTTTACTATCAATCCAATTTGAGAAGTCTTTATCTCTCAAATAACAGCATAGGAGGTAATTTTCCAACTTGGTTGTTGGAGAACAACACACGACTTAGGGGACTATACCTGAGGGATAATGCTTTTACAGGACCTCTCAAGTTGCCAACAAGCACCAATCCTAACATGGAGACTTTTGATGTATCTGATAACAAGTTCAATGGACATGTTCCAACTAATATAACTTCAATTTTTCCAAACTTGGTTGTGTTAAACATATCAACAAATATGTTTGATGGTTGTGTACCATGTAGTTTTGGTGACTTCAAATCTATAGAATACATAGACTTGTCCAACAATCACTTGTCAGGCACAATATCGCAGGAATTAGTAATGGGATGATTTTCTCCGTATTTTCTCAAATTATCGAATAATAAATTGCAATGACAGATATTTCCAGAATCTATCAACCTACAATACTTGAGATATTTATATCTAGACAGTAATGAGTTCTCAGGCGCCATTCCGAAGAGCTTGTCTACCATCCTTCTTTTATTGTTAGACGTTAGTAACAACTGTTTGTCAGGCAGAATTCCTACATCAGTGGGTAATATGACAGCATTGATTGAAATTTCTCAGTCTAACAACCAGCTCGAGGGTCCAATACCGGAGGGAATCTGCAATCTCGATCTTTTCTTCTTAGATTTATCTGAGAACAAGTTATGTGGTTCAGTCCCATCTTGCTTCAATCCATCACGGATGCATCATGTCTATCTGAATAATAACCAATTGGAGGGTAAGCTCCCATATGCATTTTATAATAGCTCTTATTTGGAGTTATTGGAACTTAGACGGAATAAGTTCATTGGACGTATCCCTCATTGGATTGGCAATCTATCAAGGCTGAGTATTATTCTTCTCGGAGGTAACCATTTTGAAGGCACAATCGCTCACCAGTTTTGTGAGATGGACCAACGGAGCATGATAGACCTTTCTTTTAATTTTCTTTAGGGTCAAATCCCGCCCTACTTAGGTAACTTCACCATGAAGAATTCTGGAAGGTTTGAAGGACCATTATTGTATTATAGTATAACACTCATATCTTACACGGATAAGGTTGAGTTGAAAACAGCCTATCACATGACTTTCCAAGTAACTGAATATTTCCAATCAATTGACGTGCCAATTACAGCAACATTCATGACAAAGAGAAATTATTATACTTACAAAGGTAGCATCCTCAATTACATGTCAGGAATTGATCTCTCCTCTAACAAATTACATGGTTAAATTCTGGATGGCCTTGGAAATTTAAGTGAGATCCACTCACTCAACTTGTTGCACAACTATCTTACTGGAACAATTCCAGAAACATTCTCAAACTTATGTCAGATTGAGAGCTTAGATCTCTCCTGTAACAACTTAGGTGGGAGGATCCCCACTGGTATGATCAAGTTATACAATTTGGCTGTCTTCAATGTGGCACATAACAATTTAACAGGTATGATACCTGCGAAATTTCAGTTTGGGACTTTTGATGAAGGTAGTTATCAGGGAAATCCTTATCTTTGTGGCCATCCATTACCTGTGGACTGTACTAGCACCGGATCAACATCGGTCTTGCCATCTGCTGATGATGAAAGTGAGCAGGTTTTCTTTCATCGAGGTTTATATAATCCATTTTTGAAGCCGTGTGTTCTGGACAACATTCCCATTTTCCAAATCAAGGTATCTGCTTTAATTCTGTATGAAGATCATTATATACTATACTAACTTTTATAACTAATATATATTTACTATCTATCTAATCAATTTTGTCATTTTTCCTTCTAGATTTGATAATTCGAAAGTAACGAAGCAGTGAAGCGAATTATAACAGCATGGTAGGAAGCAAATATGGCCGTGTGTGCATATTCAATCATAAAAGTAAGAAATAATTTTGAATTCCGTACTTGTATTAATACATGGAAAGGTGATTTGTTTCCCAGCTAAATGTTTTTGTTGAGCAAAAAAAAGAAAAAAAAAAAAAAAAAAAAGGAGCAACATGGCATTTGATTTCTAAAAGATTTATATTAGAGCTTCTTCATTTATTCTTTTTCCTTAGTCCGTATATAGAATTTGCGCATTAACTTTGATTCACATTTTGTCGAAGAGAGAGTGTGCAACCTATTATTCAAAATTCAGTTTTTTGTTCTAGTTATCAAAAGTGATTGTACCTTGAGGGATCATTTTTGGACTTTTCATCTGTGGATGCAAACTTTGCTTGGGCGTGGACTCAATGGCATCCTTTCCAATGAGGTAAATTTTTCACCTTCCAATGAGGTAAACTTTGACATATATAAGTTTCTAGCTTTGTTTGTGTGTGTTTTTCTTCAATTATTTCTATTTTCTGATTTGAATTTCACTATTTCTATTCTATTTCAATTGAGCTTTTTCTTATTTGTTTTACAAAGAAATAAAAAAAAAAAGTGTGATAAATGCTAAGTGGTTGTGCTTTTCATATGTATATTTTTTCATACTAGAAGCATGCACACACATATAAATTTCTCAAAAGAGGTAGTTGTGACTAGATTTGTTAAGAAAACCGTAAGAAAATAATTGCTCACATTACCAGTAAATTTAAAATAATATGGAAGGACAAATAAAAATGAATCCGAGTGTCAATTTGTATTGGAAGGAAAGCTAACTTCATTAATAAAAATTTTATAATCAACCCCAATTTTCCTTATCTTTTTTTGGTTCGTTAGTGATTAATTTAACAGGGTGTTGTCAACTTAATAAACTGGAGGAGCTCGATTGGAGTAGAAATATGTATGTAGAATTACCTCCATCATGTCTAGAGAACACAACATCTCTTCCGAATGATCGAGGTCTCAAGGAATAAGTTCTGCGGAGATATTGATGTGTCTTTGCTATCGAAACTCACCCCACTTAAACAATTCCATTTCAAGTAAAATTCACATGCCCATTTCCTTTGAGGCTTTATTTACTCCCTCAAGTCTTTGTTCATATTTGCCAAAGAAAATGAAGTAATAGCAAGTATTGTGTTATGAAAATGGATCCCTAACTTCCAACAAGCGGTTTTTAGTTGGTCAAATTGCCATCTAACTCTACCTCACTTTTTGAGAATTCTTGATCTCTCACGTCACAACTTGGGGAGAAATTAGCCACTCGTTAAAGAACACTAGACTCAATGGAGCCTACTTTACAGATAATGCTTTTAGAGGAACCCTCAAGTTGCCAGCAAGTACCAATCTCAATATGGAGACTTTTGATATTTCTAATAATAAATTTATTGGACATATTCCAACTAATTTAAGTGTAATATTTCCAAATTTAATTCCAATAAACATGTCCAAAATATGCTTAATGGTTGTGTAAATGTTATGTCATAAGGTCCAATCGATCTCATACACAGACACTTTCAATATGATTAATGTATTTTATTTATGGAAAATATATCATTTAATTGAATTATCATTCTGATAAATTAAATTAATAAAGTTCATAGATCTAAATTTTGATAATGTGTTAATCACAATGAGTTGTGACCGTGAAAAACAAATTACATATGACTGAATTTAAAATTATCCATAGTAGTAAGTAATAACAAGAAATAAATATTGATATTTTGGATAAACCAGCACGTATGACATTTCTCACTTATGCTGTGAGTAGCTAATATTTAAATGGATGCGTGGATATTTTATTAAGAGATTTCATATGGATAACTATTCGAGAGTTAGTGGTAAATTTCTAATGTTCAATAGTGTAATAGGTCCTTAGACTTGATGTCATTATCGTGTTTTATATGAAGACAATCATATTTTGATGGTGTCGGATGACACAACTCATCTTGAATCACCCTAATGTATCCAAAATATGACTTGCATCGATGATAGATGTTGACTAGATGTCAGATCTACCACCAAAGCTGACTACGAGTTACTACTAATTATTATCCAAAATAAGATACTTATGAAAAAGAAATAATGCAATGGCCCAAAATAATTATTTCGTGTTTTATTAAAATGACTCATATCACTCATCCACTGTTTGGCTCCCATTAAAACTCATCAATTTAATTTAATTTTTCTCTCTCCTATTTTCAACCACACAATCTTCAATAAAATAATTACATGCAAATCGAAAACTTTTCTTTCTTTTACAATTATTCATTTTTCAAAGAAATACCATTCCCCCATTATAAATCCAAATAATGGGGGCCAAACAGGGGCTCAATATGTCGTCTAGCTTTAATTCTAAAATCATCAGGCTCTTTAAGCTATCAAGAACCAATTGCTACCTATAAGAAAAATCATGGGAAAATATATAAGCTGATAGCCCAGTGAGTGAAATTTTTGAAAATATTTATACTTTCTCATTTATACATATTTATCGAAAATTGAGTTCGTGTCATTTAATAATTCACAGGATAACTTCATATAGTTATAGCCAAAAAATGAGACATTCTCATAATTTTGTAAAATATCATCTCATCCCATCACATGTAATCCACCCAAAATGTACCATTTGATTGAAATTTGTAATACCCCCCTCGGGCTAAGCACTTTCGCCATGGGTCTTTGGCCTCCTTCCTGAATGAAAAAGTGGATCTCAAAGATCAATTCTAGAACACGACCAAGGCCCTTCTATAAACTATATGTACACAGTGAAGACCAATGTCAGGTCAGGACACTCTGTGTAGGATAGAATATGGCCAAGATCCCTCTATGAACTATAAGAAATATATAATTATGGGTACTCTTCTAGTCGATCCTGATATCACATGTATCACATTCTAGGTCACAATTAATCCATATACAATCTTTGAATTCCATATATATCACAATGCAAGAACATTTCCGTATCAATAATGTAACTAAACAAATAATTCACATAATCACATGTAATATAATAGTGTAAGTACTCTATGAATATTTGAAAATATATAAGTTCTTCCACTCAACAAGTTGTAGATCGATCGTGACTTCAATATTCTCATAATCTCCTCACATTCAAATGCCAAAGCACTCATCCCAAGATATCATATCTCCTCACAAAGGCGCTTTAAACATTTTTCTTACCATTAGAAATAGAAATAATAATTTACTGAACTTGGAGTCTTATTATCAGTGTAATGTCATAATACCAATTAGGGTCACTAATAACATATCCACCTTTATATAAGTTATTTCAACAACTAATTCCCAGTATTTAATACTTAATTTGGTTTTCATACTAAAAATCCAAGAAAATCAAAATATTATCAAAACTAGCACTGTATTTCAAGACTATTAAAATGTGGCACCAAATTCTGTATATTGGAAAGTATCACCGAAACCATTAATAGAAATAGCACTTTCTGGAAATCAAAATATTATCAAAACCAGCACTTCTTTTTTCTCTCTTTCTTTCCTTTTCTTCTCCCGTTTTTCCCTTTCTTGATTTCTCTCTCCTTCTAGTTTCTTCCTTTGTAAAATGAATCCCTTTCCTTTTTATTTTAACAGATTAATACAATGTAATTGCAAGTCAAATCCTTAGTCTTCTTACAATATAAATTTTAGCCCTTAGTAATAGAGAACTAAGACCATTAATTCCTATTTTATTTTATCTCTAACCCTTTTATGTATTAGTGATTAAAAGTTAAGTCTCATTAAATTATTTGTTCAACTTAAGCCCTTATTTTGACCGACTTTGAACCATTGAATTTTTCCCTGTTCTTTGATTAAATAATTTGTTAACTTTGACTAAAATGAGCGGGGTGTAACATTGGATGTTTCTTTAGCAGGAGTCACCAATATGACATCATTTAGTATGTTAAAAATCATATAAACGTTGTGAATGATTAATAGAGAATTCGATACTCTTAGATAGTAAGAGATTATATTTATGTTCCATTTAGTTAAGTTGATATCGAAATAATTGTCCAAGGTAAGTATGTAAAGAGTTCCGATTATCATTGTCCTAAGAGCTGAATAAAAGATATGATCTATAGTTGAGATTCACAAACTTTCATATCTCACAATTGATCGAATCACATAGACAAAGGGATTATAATCTAACGGTAAACGGACAAATTTGATTTTTTTTTTGTACCACGTGATATTTCCATCACATGTAATGCCCTTGCATATTGTGGAACAATGAACGTGAATTAATTAAACTAGGAAAATTAATGATAAATAAAAAGAAATTTATTTTTTCTTATTTTGATTGTATCAAAATAATAATTCATGTCATTCGATATCGTGATCAGAACTCCTTAGAGTTCCACATAAAAGGGAGAACTAGTAGAATGATATTATAAATTAAATCATTGAAAAGTGTTGGACATTTGTAAAATTAATTATTTGAATTGTTTATTAATGGATGTGGACTTCAGTTAATTGAATAGATTAATTAACTCATGGACCAAGTTTAACTAATTAAATTAATTAAATATGTCAAAATTACGCCACCCACCTTAATTGTAGTAAATATTTAAAAAATACATGTTATCTTTTATTTCAATAAATGATGTATTTTGTTAATAAAATGAACACATTGAAGATTTCTAAATTGAAAGAATATTAAATTAGGTAACATATTTTACTCATTTAAAGACTCCTTTACATCTAATACATTTTGATTTCTATAAACACGCCCGTGTCAAATGGTGTGAGTAGCCCAAATGTGTTCATTCCATTTATTACAACTACATTTGCGTGATCTCTGCATGCGATACAATAACAGGGATGACTATATTATTCATATTAGCTTAAAATTATTCGAAATCAAATATCGTATAA